ATGTGTTTGACTTGCATATCATATATATATATATATATATATATATATATTTAGTTTTTTTTAAATAGTTGTTAAATACAGTGTTAAAAATCATGTTGCTCCAATTTTTATTTTTTATTGTAATATGTGAGAATTATAAATGTTTTGTGATTTTTGGTGAAATTGTATTGAATCCAATTAGGGTCAATTTGACTCACAACTTAAAAATTCTACCCAGAATTCAAACATAATAAAAGCAATTTTGCAATAAATGTTTCAAGCAGTGTATCCGTCACTTGAAAGCAGTTATTTTATTATTTCTATATTAAATTCGGTTCTGTCTTAATATGTGGTGTCTGGTTGACTGGTCAGACAGCAGATGAAGCGCTGTACTGTGGGATGTGTGTTGTCCGTGGTGCTCTGACTGTGTGCGGATCTGTTTGTGCTGAATAGTGCTAGTGTGCTGCTATGGCATTCTGAGCAGCCTGTGGATCGATCAGTTCATGTGAAGGACGAGGAGAGTCTCACATTCATCAGGCCTTTGGTGGCTGTCTTCACTGGACTCAGATCAGTCTCACTGGGCCTGTAGGAGCTCAGCATCACATCGTAATAGCTCAGATCAGCTCTGATGTTCCTCAGACACTCCGTCTGTGAAGATCACACAAGCGTTAGACAGACCGGATCACCTGAGCTGAATCAGACGGATATAACACCACAGCAAACTCACCTCACTGAAAGACGAGCGTCTGTGGCTGGAGCAGGACACATTCTGAAATCACACGCCATCCACAGCGTTAATACTGGCAGTGACACTCGCAGAGGAACACACACACACTGTACATACTGCTCACGCGTCATCTGAGATGTGATGTGTGTGAGGAACTGAGGAACGATCAGACTCACATGAGCGGAGCCGCTGGGCTGACAGACAGACGCTGTGAGAGTGTGAGGAATCATCTGAACACACAGTCCCTCTGCTTACTGTCAGAGCATCACAAAATAATATGACTCTCGCTGCTCTAAAATGCTTCAAATAAAACATGTTTTCATATCTATCTATTCATTTGAAAATGTTGAATGGTAATTAAATACTGATAATCAAAGCCTGTGACTTCTCTCCTGTTGTCATAAAATCCCTTTAACTAACCAACAGAAGACAATTCCTTAATGACATCATCATCATCATCATCATCATCATCATCATCCAGCAGTGACATCATTTTGGAGAGAAAACAACAGCACAAACACTGCTGGATTTGATGAATTCTGGGATGTTTGAGATCAGTTTTAATGATATGAATATTTCAGGAGATGGTTAAAAAGTGAAGTGGCTTTTTATGAAGATCCTGTTCATTTTGCTGTCATTGTGTAAATAACCGTGTTGTAGTTGTAAAGCTGATGTGTCTGAGTTTGAGCACAGCACATTTCTGATGACAGTCTGATTCTTTACAACAACATCAGATTAATTTTTTAAAGGTAATAGTTTTTAAAAGGTGCTTCAGAACAGGAATGATCCAGACATGAATATATATCATGAGTATACACAAAATTAAAGATGTTTCAATGTATCCCATATGGAAAAAATATACATTATATATATATATATAATTTTTTAAAAATATACAAAAAAGACAAAAAAAAAAATGCTAAAATATATTTCATAATATATTTATGTAAATAAATACATAATATATTTATTTATTCCTACCTACATATTTTTGTATATTTTGACAACATACTTAAATATATTTTGCCCTCCATATATTAATCTCCAAGAAAATACATTTACGTATTCACATTTGAAGAAAAAATTTAACTTGTTGCGTGAACATAAAACACATTAGAATAAAAATCAACAAGAAACATACTAGAAAAAAATTGACTAATTACAATATTACACTATTACAATATGTTATTATACATCTGTAGTAGGCTATTCCATTCATTTAGCCTAATGTAAGAACAGAAATGTATTTTCTTTCCCCTGAAATACATTTTGAAATATATTTACATTCAGCCTTCAAAATATATTTCAAAATTCTGGTCTATTTAAAATATATGCTAAATATATGTTGCAAATTGAAATTAAAAGTAGTTATTTAAAAGTTCAAATTGAAATTGTTTAGTTTCAAACTTCATATATCAAAATATGTTTTTGAATTTCAATTTATAACATATTTTTAGCACGTATTGAAAATATATCCTGGCCAGACTGTTGTAAATGTTTTGCCGTCTGGGACTGAATGGAGCTGCACTAATAAATGCTGCTTGTGAGTGTGACGCTGTACCTTCTGCATGATGTGTGAGAGGCTGGAGAGCAGAGACCTGGCGGCGGCGCTGCATTCACACTGCTGTGTGTTCGGAGGAACCGGAGAGCCCAGCGCAAGAGCCACAAATACACAGAACACAGCACCTGCGTGACACACACACACACACACACACAGACACACACACACACACACACAGCTCAGCTGCAGTGTTCAGACGTATTGCAGTAAATCAGACAGTCACACTGTAACAGCTTTCAATAATGTCACAAACACACGTTAACCTTCAACAGCTCATACGCAATCAAATGTAAAGAGGAAAACATCTCATGTCATATATGAGTTCCATCATTATATCATGTAATAGATGTTGAGTTACTCACAGATCTTCATGATGAGTGTCTTCGCTCAGACTCAGACTCAGTGTGTGTGTGTGTTTGCTGAAGTATGAGAGTGATGGGCTTTATACTCATGATGGGGGAATCCCTCAATCACTGTAAATCATCTACTCACACACACAGTGCTTCTCTTTTGGTTTGTTGTGGCACTGAAACTGGAATAAACACACTGATGTGTGCATGCGCTCATACAGTGACCTCAGCACAGCTCTGCATTACCTGCTCCGGTTTTCACTTCATTCAGACACAACCACAAGTCACAACACTTTCAATACTTTCCATGAATAACTGGAAAACACTGTGTAATGATCAGTAGTAGCGGAGTGTAAATATGAACATGAATGTTATTTTAAAGTATGGCCTTGTCACGCTCTTCCATCCACAGGAATCTGATTATATGAATATTTCCAGTCAGTTTATTTTTTTCTGTGGCAGAAAAGAGCTTCCATAGAAAACACAGAAGGGACTGAGCGAGGGGTTCTAGACACAATTTCATATTTTCTCCACAAGAGACGATCCAGAAAACTACGGTCTATGAAACAAAGTTTTATTTTTCTTATTTTACACATATCTGTACAGAAGCATCTCCCTCAAATAAAGAATCTGAATACAATAGAATGAAAATGATATGAACACACTTATTCAGATGACTCGTGTCACAATCAACATCCACGGAGCTACACGTCGACTACAAGGCAGGCATGTTTCCTCTCGAGCAGCTTCAAGCCATCGCTGACCGGCTGTGCTTAAATACTGTCCAACTCAAACATTCAACAGCCAGCTCACCAGGTGTTTCCACACCGCTCTATGTAATTGAGTGGCAAAGGTAAAGGACTGAGACGGGTGTACGAGGCGATCGCTGGCAGTTTCCAAGACGTTCTGGAGGAACCACAGAAGCAAAGGAAAGGTGTCTGTCTAAACGGATGTGTGTGGAGAGCGTGCGGCTTCATTTGGAGAGCGTCTTCTCCGCCAGGTGCTTCTGCTGGCTCTGAGCGTGCCTGAGGACAAACACAGCCGATTACACTTTACTTCCAGAGACACTCTACTGACTACATGACATTTCACAGTCGTTAGAGTACTGGTAGACTGCTTGGTTAGGGTTAGGGTTAGTAGAATACGTTGACAGGTACTTGCAAAGTTACTTATAATCAGTAGAACGCAGAAGTGTTAGCAAGCAGACAGACTACTAATACATTAATTGACATGAAGTTACTCATAGTTAGTAAAATAGCAAAAGTGAAACGAAGTGTTCCCAACATTTTTGTTACTTGTATTAAAATAAAATATATGTATATATATATATAAACTGGATTTCAGCTAGTTATCAAGGCATCATATCTCATTTTCATTTAATTTAACTTGGAAAAAAAAATTCTGAACACTTTTATTTTAAGGACCAATGCTCACTGTTAACTAGCTTACTTAGTTTATAAGCATGCATGTTACTAGTGCACATTGGCTGTTTATCAGTACTTATAAAGCACATATTAACATCTTATTCTGCATGATCCCTTAATCCTAAACTCCTAAACTTAACTACTACCTTACTAACTATTAATAAGCAGCACATTAGGAGCTCATCGAGGAAAAAGTTGTAGTTAATGGTAAGAATTGGTCCCCAAACTAAAGTCTGACCATAAAAATGACAAAAACAATACATAATGACCAACAACTTGAACTAAAATGAACATCAAAGCAGAAAATGTAACAAATGAAATCTGTTTTAAACACTACACTCTCAGTGACACTCAAATAACACCATTGTGGAAACACATGTTGTTGTTCAGCCACTTGCTGTAGTTTTCTGGAGGGGAATTTGTGCTTTACTGGAGTATTCTGAACACTTGTACTTTTACTCCATTGCTTTTTGTCAGAGAAATTCAGTGCGAGTGTTTCCCACTTCTGTTGAGCGGATGATTGAGAGCGTGAGCCGGGCACCTGGTCAAGTCCTCGATGTCCACCAGCATGGCGTCCTGCTCCATGTGAAGCTCGTCTCTCATCAGCAGCAGCTGCACCAGCTCCTCGTTCAGACCTGAGCATCACACAAACACACGTCTCTGAGCTCCGCAGAACACACATGCGTGAGTGAGTGAGAGAGACAGGTGTGTGTGTCGTACCCTCGATCTGTGAGTGCAGGTCGTTGACGATGACCTGCAGCTGTCCCAGCGTCATGTCTCTGAGATCCGTGGGCTTCAGACTCCGCTTCATCAGACACTCGCTGATGTGCGGCATGTGAGGAAGCTGTGAACACACACACACACACACACACAATCTGGTCAGCTATCCTTGTGGGGACTCTCCACACAATCACACACACACACACACACACACACACACACAATCACATGCACACGCACACGCACACACGCACGCACGCCCCCACACACACACACACGCACACGCACACACGCGCACACGCACACGCACACACACAGAATCAGTACAAGCACATGAATCATGTCAGGGATATTATACAGTCTGAACCAATGATCAACACCCGGTGTAAAGCTGAGATCTGAGAGATGAAAGACTCAAGTCAAATGTTTTTGTATGGTGTTTTCTGAATGCATATGGTTTTACAGAGCTAGCTGTATTGTATTTCTTGTGTTGTCTAGCTCATAGTGCCGCAGTGACATTCAAGGCAGTTTAGAGCTTTAAATATCAGCTGTTCTGTTCTGTTCTGTTTAGAGATGGTCAATATTGTTCAAAGTGAGAGTGTTTTAAAAAAAACAATTAATGAAAACATGGTTTGATGTCACATGTGAACAGTCTGAAAAGCTGACGCTCGTGAAACATGCAGGGAGGAAGTATTTCTCAGAAGGTATTGATAAAAATATGATCACAGGTGAATGTCTGACTGTTCGAAAGAAATGAAAGGATTTAGAAAATGCTAAACAATTCTCTGAAATCATCAATAAAATTCCAATCGCCTGTCTTATAAGTGAAAACTAGCCCTTCATCTGATGCGAGTTTAACATTTTCCAAATGTAATTCTCAGCTCGATCTGTTGATTTCAGTCAGTAGCGTGTCTGATTTCAGGCAGCATTACTAGAACATGATGCCATTCTTGACTGTGTTTGCATGTATTATACATTGGAAATGACTTACAGTATATTGTGGTATTGATTTAGCTTGTATCACAGGATGCTACATAACACTTTCATCTCTTTAATCTATGTCATTAATCAGCAGTCAGTTGTACAGTTTTTCATCATTATGCTAATGACACCACTGACTAATCGCAGTCAGCTATTCCAGAGAACCGTGGGGTTATTATTTATCATAATTATGGGTTATGATGTTGAAGGCCGTTTGGACATGAGGAATAATGCATAAAAATAAGCATTAACAGCAGATCTCGTAACAGAAACTGAAGCAGGTTTTTCACATTACAAATACATGGTAATTCTTCAGGTAAATCACCCATCTGAAGTTCCCATGAGGACTCGCTTCATTCTGACACACTGCAGTTTTACTTTCACATCACTTGCTCTGGACTTGTTCCTATTCAAATGTTTTTCCCCATTTAAGGCAGATCTGAGTGCCGTAAGCTGATAATGAGCTGGCTTTCTCAAAGTGAAGTGAATGTTAGCTCTGTAGCCAATAAAGCGAGGAAGAAAACAGAGTAACCTTGATATTTCTGCGTAACTGTAATAGAGTCTGATTTATCCTGCTATAAAGTGAACTGCAGATGTGAAGAGTTGGTTTAAGATCATTAAAAGACAAAGAGGGCTTACAGTAGCTTGAAGCCAAAATCCCAGAATGTGTTGTTGAAATGTGCTTTGATATGAGATGCAGGCTGATGCAAGTTAGATTTTAGAATCGATGTATTATTCCGATAATAATAATCCCAGTCTTACTCTCATATGCAGGAAACTGGTAGTCGACCGTGATGTTATTTCTTTTAATTAATATTCAGTCATATTATAGATTGCCTGCACTGATATTATGAGATGAGAACTGATCTGAATAATGACACTATTACCTTCTATAGAGCTGCTTATAGATGAAAGTGAATATGTTTCATAACTCATGAATTTTGCAACACTGTTCTATTTCTGTTTTTTCTATATCTGTATTGTATAAAGCACTATAGGAGTAAATGCGACTGGACTGAAAGTGGTTCAAGTGTGTTCAGGTCTCCTAGATTCAATGGCAAGTAGATAAATGATAATGATAATGATATGAACGAATCAAAAGCTTGAACAGAGGTGTGTGTGGATGACTGGAGCTTCATTGTTTCACATGATAAAATCGGGTTTTCCTGCCGTCTCATTCCCACAGTATTCTTCAGTTTTGACTCATACACATCGTCTTTTAAAGTACTGTACACTCCATTTGATAGTGTGCATGATAGTTATGATTGATAACAATGTTGCATCAGCTTTCATTCACATCTACAAGCACTGAAACACCCAGCACTGTAATTTGAGTCTGGTCACCGCAGTTCTAGTTGACGGGTGAGTGCAGTGTTTCAGGAGCGTTAAACGCACGAGGTGGTGTTACACAGCGAACACAGTCACTGAACTCACTGCATTCGCTGTGTAACACGTCCCGTGCCATACTGTTGAAGTTTTCTCCTCTGCAAAGAGTTTGGCGTTCAGTGTCTGGCTTGTGAGGAGATGAGGAGATGATCTAATCGTGGGGTGTCCCGCTGACACGAGCTGCGCAGAGAAACAGCATCACCAGTGCCACTTTAAGAGCACCGATGTGTTTCGAAGGAATTTTCACAAGCAGATGTCAGTTTTGTTCTTACTAGCAGAGCATCCGCGTGTGCAGCATTGGCTGGAGGAGCAGCACAGAGCTGACGAGAGTGATGGGAGGGAATAACTCGTGCCCTTTGAGAGCATGTCATGGCACAGTTTCGCTGTCCGTCTCTCTGGGCTCTGAGTCTCGTGGTGATTTACGCCGCATGCTCCGGGAGATTTCCCCGCGTGAGCCGTGTTTGCTCTCCATCGGCGTTACTCAGCGCGCGGCTGTCAAACGCTGGAGGAAGAGCGTTCGAGCATCTGCTTCCTGCTGTGTGTGTGTCATAGTTTCAGTTCAGACACTGACTGCGGTGGAGGCGGAGGCGTTCTCAACGCATGACGTGATGACGAGACTTCACTGATTCTCATGGAATCGTGCTGATTGTGTTTGTATCACGATTACGGTTTTGATTGTATTTCTATATATAAACTGACCAATGCATAAAGTGTGTCATAATAATATTCCAGCTGTGTAGCCTCATTCACACACACACACACACACACACACACACACACACACACACACGCACACACACAGACACACACACACACACATATATGTATGTGTACTTTGCGCTTGAACTGACAAATTCATACGAGATCATGTCGAAATACGTGCTATATGCAATGTTGTTTTACATTTAATTATTCAATTTCTGCACTTGAACACCTACAAACCTGAAACCTGTTTTGTGCTATTGCTTGTTATTTGTTTATTGTAAAATTTAACTGATATCTACAATTTTACACACTACTGTGCAAAAGTCTTTCACCAACAAAAAAAGGTTCTAAGTCAGTTATTTCTATCTTTTGCTGTAGTGTGTCTCCGAGACACTTGAAGAAACCATAGAAACAGTCATAAAAGTGTCTCTATTTCACTTAAGTGGCCTTTTATTTCATTAATATAATATATTCTGCAAATACAGTTCTTTAAAAACATTCTTTTGTCCCACTTTATATTGCATGTCTTTAAATACTATGTAGTTAATAATAAAATAATAAACTATTAGGTACAATGTACCTATTGTGTTCATGTTGTATAAACATGCACGTACACAATAAGTGCATTGTATCAAATGATTTATTTAAATGTAAGTACACAGCAGTTAAAGGCACTTAATCCTTGTAATATCTGAACTACCCTAGTGTGCATTCAGTGCAATTAAGTGCAGCTGTTTTTCCCAGTGGTTCGCTCTAGCCCGGATCATAACTACAGATACTGTGTAAGCTGTTTTTGAGCACTGGGCTGACTGAGAACCGGCCGTTGAATACGCCTCATCACTAATCTGAACACTGGAGTCTCTCTTCTTCAGCTGTTCGGCTCTCACTAGCGTTGCTGGAGTTGCTCAGTGAAACACGTGACGGAGCTCAGCACACGTACCAGATCCGCCACAGGAGACTTCTTACGGTTCTGCTTCTCCACCTCCACCTGCATCTTGGCCATGGGTTTGGCCATCGCGAGAGCCAGCTTGGCCTCGGCCTGCAGCTTCTTCTGTCGGCTCAAGAAGTCCATGTCCTCCAGAGACTCCGAATCGTCCTCCGTGGTGTCTCTGTCCGAGTAGGACGAGCTCTGTTTGCTCTGAGGACAGATGGACAGAGAGAACACAAGACACAGATTAGACAGCTCTCCATCTGGAGCCAACAAAGCTCAGCGTACCGTGGAAATGATTAGTGAAAATGATTGTGCATTCCTTTCTAATGTCACACAACAGTATACTGTCTGCATAACAAATCTGAACTCAAATGAACAAACCCTGACAATCCTGTTCTCCTGCATGATCTGAGATGATCCAGACTTGCTTTTGATAAAAACATTTCCTAAACATATTTCTAACATTTAATTTGATCATTTAAAATCTTGGTTATTTCCAAGTTCTAAAAATCCCAGATTTTGGGTCCCACTGTGAATTTCAAATCTTAGACGTATATTTTTAAAGAAGGCCACTTAAGTGACTTAAAGAGAGACACTTTCATGACTGTTTCTCAGCACACTTTTAAAAAGCACACTTTGTAATAATGTCAGATTAAAATCTTTACTTCAAAGTACATTTTAAGTCATTATGTTTTAATCATCTTTTGTTTAAAGAAGTACACTTATTTTGATATGTTGACTAACATACTAATGCACATGTAAAGCACTTGATTATAATTTTAACTGTAGTGTGTTATTTGATATTACATTTAAAGTTTATATGTTTTAAATTAACTAAATTACAGCTTCATCATTATAAATGTGTAATTACAAATATATTTAAATACATGACATACAAGTTTCAATAGAAATGACATTAAAATATATTTTAGTTATTACCATATTACCAGAAGTAACTATGAAATTATTTGTAAAGATGTACTCAAGTCCTACTTAAGTGAGTAAAAAAACACTCTAAAAAACACCCCAAAGTTCAGCTAATGGCATTTAGTACATATAAATCTATACAGTGTGTGTCTGTGTGTGTGTGTGTGAGTGAGTGAGTGAGTGAGTGAGTGAGTGAGTGAGTGAGTGAGTGTGTGTGTGTGTGTGTGTCTGTGTGTGTGTGTGTGAGTGAGTGAGTGAGTGTGTGTGTGTGTACCATGGGAGACAGCGGTGTGTCCAGGCTGGTCTCTGTCTTGCTGTCATCTGCGTCGCTGTCTTTGTCGCTGCCGCTGTCGTTGACGAAGCAGATCTGCAGGTTCATTCCGCTCTGGAGCCTGTGAGGATATTGTGTGATATTGTTCAGATTATCAGAGCATGCTAATGACAGCTGTAGCAACATGTAAAACACTGTAAAACACCCTTCAGCTCCCATGCAGAAAGCAGGATGATCTTGTTGAGTCTTCAGCAGTATGTGCTGTGCTAACACTGAACACCTTCTCTAGCAGACTATTCCAGCCCAAAAACTCATGCAGAAAGATGGTATGTCTGTTGTTGTGTATGTATTTTAAATCTGCTGAATGCTCTGGGAATGTTAGTATTATGTTTACACTCTTGTGTACAGTACTTTGGTTGATTTTTATGGTTTTGGAGGTGCTATCTAAATAAAACGGCGTTGAGTTGAGAAAAGCACACAGTGAGAGCACTGGAATACCCGCGGTGACATCAGCAACAACAGCAAACAGTGAAGCGCTCAGGAAAAGGAACTGCTGAACCATCAGAAATCACTGAGAACGTTACCAGAGCGCCTTATTTTACACTTCTGGGAGGGATGCACCTGCTCGCAATTTAGGTCATTTAACATTTGATTTGTGTCATTTTGTTATTGTGTTTTAGCAATAAAATTACATAAAGAACAACATGAAAAATGCAATGAATTTAAAAATGTTTGATTGCAGATTTAGTCTAAATGGCTATAAAAAAGTTAATGATTACAAACTTTTTTTCTACAAAGAATTGAACATCATTTCCACAGTTGAAGTCAGAATTTTAAGATTCACTGAAGTCAGATGACAGTTCATCTATCATATGAAAATCACTCTGTCCTTAAAGCAAGACACTTCGGGTGAATAAAGTAAACATTTTAACTACTTCCCCAGTTTATTAATCACTGTTGATTAAGAGAAACATTGTTTTAATATGCATTATAGATAAAACAAGGGTTACATTTCTCGTTTGATTCTGCTGACATCTTAGAGTTGAAGGTTTTTACAGAGGGGATTTTGCATTTCTCTTTTTATCACTCCATAAATCACAAACAGCCAGGAAAAAAAAACAGCAAGGAAAAAAAAAACATGGTTTCAAAATGTTCTATAAATCAGTGTGAATGATATAAAACAGTAAAAACCTTCAGAATATAGAGAGGAATAAACTGTAAAGTCTGGTGTGTGTGGGTGCTGCTGAAGTCTAGCACTTTAGTTTAGTGACCAACTCTCACCATGAACTAGTAGCTTATTATCATGCTAGCAGATTGGCTGTTTATTAGTACTTATAAAGCACATATTAATGCCTTATTCTGCATGACCATAGTTTAGATCCCTTAACCCTAAACACCATACCTAACTAAAAAAGGCATAGTTAATAGTTAGTTATAGTGGTCCCTAAAGTGTGACCAAACTCATATTGAGAAAACAGCCTTTGAAGATACGTTTTCTTTTATGAATGAAACCTACTGATGCTGATAGATAAAGTGCAATATGGATGCTGGAAGATGTTAAAAGAAGGCAAATTATGGAAGCAGAAAAGCCCAAAATCTCAAAAGAGACTAGTGCATGAAACACTGGTTTTATCTGTAATGTCTTGCCTTAAAGATCATGGGATTTCTTTATCGCTCCACCAAAAGTAAGGTGAAATCTGATCTGGGTCACGGTGTTAATGTTTTACTGTAATAACAGCAGCATTACGACACTGTGTCAACATGACAGAGAAGTGATAAGTGCTCATCACGGTCATGTGAAACAGAAAGTGAGCAGCAGGGATTCAGGTTAAAGTTATGTGTGTGTGTGAGAGAGAGAGAGAGAGAGAGAGTGTGTGTGTGTGTGTGTGTGTGTGTGAGTGAGTGAGTGAGTGAGTGAGTGAGTGAGTGAGTGAGTGAGTGAGTGAGTGAGTGAGTGAGTGAGTGAGTGAGTGAGTGAGTGAGTGAGTGAGTGAGTGAGTGAGTGAGTGAGTGAGTGAGTGAGTGAGTGAGTGAGTGAGTGAGTGAGTGAGTGAGTGAGTGAGTGAGTGAGTGAGTGAGTGAGTGAGTGAGTGAGTGAGTGAGTGAGTGAGTGAGTGAGTGAGTGAGTGAGTGAGTGAGTGAGTGAGTGAGTGAGTGAGTGAGTGAGTGAGTGAGTGAGTGAGTGAGTGAGTGAGTGAGTGAGTGAGTGAGTGAGTGAGTGAGTGAGTGAGTGAGTGAGTGAGTGAGTGAGTGAGTGAGTGAGTGAGTGAGTGAGTGAGTGAGTGAGTGAGTGAGTGAGTGAGTGAGTGAGTGAGTGAGTGAGTGAGTGAGTGAGTGAGTGAGTGAGTGAGTGAGTGAGTGAGTGAGTGAGTGAGTGAGTGAGTGAGTGAGTGAGTGAGTGAGTGAGTGAGTGAGTGAGTGAGTGAGTGAGTGAGTGAGTGAGTGTGTGTGTGTGTGTGTGTGTGTGTGCGTGTGTGAGTGTGTGTGGGAGAGAGAGACACAGAGAGAAGGAACTGCTTCCCTTTTGGGAAGAGTCTGTGTGAGGGATGCTGAGCTGGAGGGGGAAACCCTTCATAGAGAGAGTGCTTGAAAGCTGTGCTTCACCACACAAACACAGGAACGTGACGCTGTTTCACTCTCTGAGCCGCAGCTCCGCTCTGATACTGTGGTCATGGAAAGATGAAGAAAAGGCCCGTGTCCGCACGCTCCTCTGTGCTCCGTCTGCACTGATGTCCCTCTCACTCAGCTCAGTCTCCACACCACTGACTCAAACCTCCAATACTTCAAAAACACCATGACACGATGCTGAACAGTGTTCATCAACGTGAACCGTGACGGCAGAAGAGACAACGAGAATACAAGATCTGCTGGAGGAACATCAGAGCTTTCACTTCTCTCACTCTCATCCTTTTGAACGGTTCACTTTTTAGACATATTAGACAGATATATATATATATATATACAGTGGGTACGGAAAGTATTCAGACCCCCTTAAATTTTTCACTCTTTGTTATATTGCAGCCATTTGCTAAAATCATTTAAGTTAATTTTTTTTCCTCATTAATGTACACACAGCACCCCATATTGACAGAAAAACACAGAATTGTTGACATTTTTGCAGATATATTAAAAAAGAAAAACTGAAATATCACATAGTCCTAAGTATTCAGACCCTTTGCTCAATATTTAGTAGAAGCACCCTTTTGATCTAATGTATTGTTGGCTATTGCTACAAATATACCCCAGCGACTTAACACTGCTTTTGTGCTGCAGGGACACATATATCATTTGCCTGGTTTTATTATTGCACTTTATATATTTGCGTCTGTAGATTTCAAATACAATACATATTTTTAAAGGTCATTTTCTGAAAAAAAAAAAAAAAATTCTCCTTTGTTTGTCTATATGTCATTCACACTGATTTATACAACATTTCAAACAATGTTGTTGTTTTTTTTCTTTCTGTTGGTTGACAGTATTTTATAGTGATATGTATACGTTAAAATGTTGACCATATTGTGTGTCGGTAAGTATTTTTTTTTCAAATAAATTAATAATTTTACTCAACAAGGATGCATTAAATTGCATTAAGCAAAAGTGCTTTTAATTTCCCCCCCCCAGAAAAATATTGTGCAGCACGACTGTTTTCAACATTGATAATAATCAGAAATGTTTCTCGAGCAGCAAATCAGCATATTAGAATGATTTCTGAAG